GGCTGGTGGATCCGCAGGTGCTGCCCTAGCTGTTGTGCGGGCTACACCCCTGCCCCTACCACGACCTCGACCATGTCATAGGCCTCTAGCGGCCCCAACTAGTGGTACTGGTGGTATTCCGTCCTAACCGATAGCACGTGTCCTCACCATCTGTGAGAGAATAGAATAACAAAGTTTAGTACCAGAATCAACAGATTCGCATGACAAAAATTCAAGAATGTGAAGTTTTTCCTAAAGGTTCTACATCCTCCCAAGGATAAGTACAGACGTCTCTGTACCAATCCACGAGACTCTACATAACCTGCTCATGGCCCGTAAGACCTATGTAATCTAGGATCTGATACCAACTTGTCATGACCCCAAAATCGACCCGGTCATGATAGCGCCTATCGTGAAACTAGGCCAGCCAACTCACTTCCAAAACAAACCACATTTTTCATTTAAAACTTAAGAAACCCATTTTTCAACAAAAATCCAATAAAGATATAAAATCAAGTTTAACAAGATAGAAAATAATACAAGCCCAAACTAGGGTGTCACTAAGTCATGAGCAAAATACTACAACTGTTCGAAATAAAACGAGACTAACAGAGTCTGAGAATAACTAAAAAATACACTAAGAGAAAGATAAGGAAGGAGAAAGGCGGGACTGCGATCCAGACAGCTACCTCGCTATCTCCAATGAAAGCCCATGACTGAAATGATCAGCAACTACTACTGTGACCAAGGTATCACTACCGTGGCCCGAGATACCTGGATATGCACACAAAGTGCAGGGGGCAACTTGAGTACACCAACTCAGTAAGTAACAAGTCCAAACTATGGACTGACAGGTAGTGACGAACCAAACCTCAACAGGTAATGCAATTAAACTGTACAGAAAAGTAGACATGCTTGCAGTTCAAGTAAAAACTCAACAGTAAATAAAGACAGTTTGAACAGTACGGAGTATAAAGCTCAGGAAATCTCTATGCACCAATGCACAGATAGCATGATCAATGTTCCGTGTACCTCCTCTCACAAGTGCTCAAACTGTATATGGCCATTCGACGCAGTGGAGATCCATCCCGGAATATATACACATCACTGACCGCAGTCATCCAGTACCAAGGAAGGCCATTCTATCCCGATGGAGAAGATCCATCTCCAGGTATAAATACTTCGGACAAGATCCATGTCCAGGGAAGATCCATCCATCAATATCATCATCTGCATTCACTGGGGGTGTAAAGACTCCGGAGGGTCTCCTTTCAGTCCAAGCGTTATAACAAGCCAATGAAGGCATAATCAATATCTCGTTGCGGCGTGCAGCCCGATCCCATACTGTCACTCAATATCAGACTCTCGGCCTCACTCAGTCATCACTCTCCAGTCTCACACACACGGGCTCAAAATGTCATGATACTAGCCCGAATAATGATATAATGTGCCAAATAACAATAATCGAGACTGAGGCATGATATAATATACATGAACATGACTGAGTACAAAACATCAATGAAGCTAATGATATGACAGCAAGAAACGACCTCTCGAGCCTCAACAGTATTGGTGTGAAGCCCTAACATGATAATTAGCATGATTTACAGCTCATTAACTTAATCACACAATTATAACACAAATATCAGCAAGAAAGAGTCACTAAGCGGTGCCATGGAATGATCCAGGCCGCGATTCTCACGGTGCACGCCCACATGTCCTTCACTTGGCATTTGCGTCACCTTAATAGTAATTATAGAACATATAGTTCGGGGTTTTGAACCCTCAGAACCAAGTTTCGAAGCGTTACTTACCTTAAACCAAGCCAAACTCTAGCTCGTGATGCCCTTGCCTATCGATTCGGCCTTCAAATGCCCCAAATCTAATCAAAATCAGTATATTATCATTAATATACGCTAAAGGAATGAAACCCATACAAAAATTATCAATTTAACTCAAAAATTCCGAAATTGGCCAAACCTGACCCCTGAGCTCACGTCCCGAAATTCGATAAAAATCACATCATAAGAATTCTTATCCTCCCACGACTATATACATACCAAGAACATCAAAATCGGAGAAACTCTCCAATACCAAGTCCTAATTCTCCAATTTTAACCCTTAATTTCCGATAACTTTAAGCCTAATCAGTAAGATAATGTCATAGAATCGAGTATTGGGTTCAAAAATCTTACTTCCAAGCGTTATCCCTTGAATCCCTCTTCAAATCCACTCAAAAAGCTCTCTATACATTTCAAAAATGGTGGAACAAAGCTGAAATTCAGGAAGGCAGGTTTATATAGTTTCTGCCCAGGCATTTCTGCACCTTCGGACATTTTCGCATCTGCCGTCTGCACTAGCGGACAAATCTCTGCTTCTGTGGATGTTCACTTAAAAGCCTTCATCCGTACCTATGGTCAATCCACCGCACCTGCGGACTTGCAGGTGCACCTCAACTCCCCTTTCTGCGCTTCCCAACCGCATTTGCGGCCTTTCCTTGCTTCTGCGGTCATCGCACCTGCGGTCCCCTAACCGCAGGTGCGGTTATGATAGAACCAGCAGCTTCAGTTGCATTCTCCAACTTCCAAACTTTCCAATAACCATCCGAAATCACCCCGAGGCTTCCGGGATCTCATCCAAAAATACGAACAAGTCACATACCACTATTCAAACTTATACCAAACCTCAGAACACTCAGAACAATGCCGAAACGCCAAATCGCCCTCGGATTCAAGACTAAGGATTCTAAAACCTCTGAATTCCGCAAACAATCAAAAAGTCTATCAAACCTCACCCGAATGACCTGAAATTTTGCATACGTGTCAAAAATTATACAACGGACCTATTTCAATTTTCATAATTCCATTCCGACCCCGATATCAAAATTTTCACTACCAACCGGAAAACGCCAAAATTTCAATTTTGCCAATTCAAATTTAAATCTACCCCGGACCTCTAAAATACATTCTGATCATGCTCCTAAGTCCCAAATCATCTCACGAAGCTATCTGAACCATAAAAACCAAGTTCTGAGACCATTTACTCACAAGTCAACTTCCGTTAGACTTTTTCCAACTAAAGCTTATTCAAAAGTGTCTCATACCTCTCCAAAACCACTCCGAACCCGAACCAACCAACCCGATGTCATATAATACAGCTGAATAAGACATAAAGAAGCATAAATAGGGGAAAACGGGGCTGAAATTCATAAAACGACCGGTAGGGTCGTTACATTAACAATATGGAGAATTTTTATAAAATTAATTTTATTAATCCTTCCTATATATTTTTAGTAAGAATTCAATAGGCAATATTGTATTAATTTTAAAATTTTAAATATTAAAAAAATTATTATAGAAGTTATTGCAGTCCAAAAATAAGTTATTACAGTTATGTCATTTCTCTACGAGTTCTTCTATTTAATATTTTATGGATATTTTGATCTATCAATATTGTATACGTGCCTTTATATTAAAATAGGCTCTCCTATTTCTAAATGTATTGGATGATATAATATGTTTTCAAATTAAATTAGTAATAGAATTTCTTTAAGAAACATATCCTAAATATAATAGGATTACGACTAAAAATATGTTCATATCTCTAAAGTAGTTATACTATTAGGGAATCTAACATGTTCCTAAAGGTATTAGGTTTATATGATAACATGTAGTATTATATATCGATGCCTAAAAATAATTATACTAATAGAATTTTTAAAGGTAATCATGTAGGATTCCTAACGTGCAGTATTATGTCCTAAAACTAATAGGATTACAAGACTAATGTGTAGAATTTAAGTTATGTCCTTTTATTGTGAGTTATTATGTTTAATATTAAAAGATAATTATTTCTATAAAACAATATTTTATTCATGATTTTATAATAATATTGGTAAATATACAATATACATATTTTGTATATTTTGTATATTTGGTTAGAAAATATTTTTTTTTGATTGACTGGCCAAATGCATAAATTGCCCTTAGCTATTCCTGCCTTTAAAACGGAAATGCGAATGAGCAAAGAAAGAAGAACCGAGTTTGGGCTCTTATTGGACTATTTATAGCCTGTTTGGCAAGCTTTTTTGTGCCAAAAGCAGTTTTAGCCAAAAATTGAGGTGTTTGATCAAGCTTTTGGAAGAAGAAAAAAAGTGTTTTTGAGGAGAAGCAGAAACAGTTTTTGTGAAGCAGAAAAAAGTAGTTTATCTCCAAAAATACTTTTCTGAGAAGCACTTTTGAGAAAAATACACTTAGAAGCAATTTTCAAAAGTTTGGCCAAACACAAATTACTGCTCAAATGTGTTTTTCAAATTAATTAGCCAAACACAAACTGTTTTTCATCAAAAACACTTTTTTAAAAGTACTTTTAAGAAAAACATTTCTCAAAATAAGCTGATTTTAGAAGCTTGGTCAAACATGCTATTAGTCTTGATCTTATAGTAGTTTTGGGCTAAAAATAGAGAAAAGCCCAACTATATCGAGCCACTCTCATATGCACTGTGTTAGCTAGAGCTGTACAAACCAAACCAGAAACTGCCGTAAAAACAAATCAACTAAAATACCCGATTAGATTTGGTATTGAGTAAAAAAAAAAAAATTGAACCAAGCCTACATATAAATATATAATTTTTATATATTCTTTTAAGACTTTTTATAGAATTTTCTTTAAAAAATATCTAGAAATATTTGTGATTCTCTTATGGGATGTAATATTTTGTTAAATATGAAGTGCTCCATATTTATTAACTTTAAATAATGGATTGATCACTTTCTTATCAAGTGTTAGTGAAATGCGTCAATCTCTTTATTATTTCATATTCATATCTTTTTCGAATTTGAAATGATATTTCGATAATTTAAAATTAAATAGAACATATCGTGTTATTATTGGGTTGTGTAAACATTGGAGGCGAGTATACACATAAAAATGCATGTCATTATAATTAATTAATGAAGTTGTTCTTGATATATAGATGTTTCCTTTGTCAATGGCTCCATTATTTTTGGATTGATAACAAATGCATTGAAAACCATCACTCATCGAATTCATTAATTACTACGTACATAGTTATATTACACAAGACTATTAGGATATATAGGATAACACTAAGTTACAACTTACAAGCTGATATAGGTCTTCCAGAAGGCTAGCTAGCGAGCTAACTCACGTTATATATTAGATCTTCTTATCATATTTGACAATATAGCTGAACTAAAGCCAGGTTATATAATCAAGTACTAAACCAAAAATTACACTACTTATTATGGCCACTTAATAAAGTTCCAATCTAGAGCTAGTAGCTTAAAACTATTTAATAGGAAGCCTGAAGAGGTAATAAGGCAGGGTAGTGTGAAGAAATTAGAGATTTGTGAGGTTTAAGTCCTTGGCCACGTCCATGCTTGCTGCTTGAGAGTTGACCGATTGGTGCTTTATGGTGGGGTGAGGGAGGTGGTAGTTTTTGTTCCTCTTGTCCACTATAGTTACTTCCATCTTGATAATTAGAGGAAGTGACAATTATCTGACGCTGTTCATCAGCTGGTTTTGGTGGTGGTGGTGGTGGTGGTATACCGTGCTTCCCAAATCTTTCTTGGTGGTCTGATGAACTACTCGGAAGCATAATTAGCAGCTCATTATCACTAATAACATTGCTTGTAATTGTCAATAACAGCTCATTTCTTTCGCTACCATGTCTGCTGGTTGTGACTTGATCGGTTTTCGGACCATGTTTGGGCGCAGGAGGTGGAAGATGAGCGTGCCTCTTAAGTCTTTGTGGGATACTTGGTGAAGCAGATTGTGGGGATGGAGGTAGTGGAGCTGGCCTTCCATAACCAGATTTTACCACCTTCTGCTCATGTTGCTTTTCTGTAGCACCACCAAACATAAAGTTAGTCTACGTATGTGATTCGCTTATATATAACTAGACAAGCCCATGAATCAAGTGCGTGCAGAATAAGGAAATAAAGCAAGATTCATAACTTCTGGGGTTAATTACTGTTGGGCTCAACCAGCCAAACACACTCTTAATATAGTATGATATTGATCGGTATGGGCCAAGCCCGCCCGATTTTCCCCAAAATGTCTCACACCATTAAGAGATCCTTACACCTTATATGTAAACTCCCAATCTTTTCTGTTATCAATATGAGACTTTGTTCGCACACCCAATAATTATTAGTTAGGAACGCCTCCGGAATATACTGCGTATATAGATCAAATATGTACTAATTCTTGAACACTCTTAACTACCTAAGTTCCTAATTTTGCCACTGCAGTTATAAACACCATAGATGGTTTAGAGGAAAATCAACTCTGTAAGAGGTTGAGATTTCTTCCACACCCACCCATGTATTATATATACAGGTAGATTTAAAGCTGGCCAAAGGGTTAATAAACTCATCTCTGCTCTTGGCTTAAATTATGTATACATATGTAAAAATAATTTTAAATGTATATATGTAATCAATAACAACTATTCTGAACCCAACAATTCTAAATTTTAAATTCTCTGTCCCTAACAAGGATAATCACAAAAAGGAGGAAAAGAACAATCTCTGCTATATATATTACATCAGCTCCTCCAGATAGCTTGAATAGGCTTTATTCCACCACGTTTCTAAATAAATACTCCTATGTTGCAAAGCACCAAGGAATTAAATAGAAAACTGAGAAAAAGAACAAGAAGACAGGCCAGCGCCACAAAGAAATACAATACTATAAATAAAAATATAGAGTAGCATGCTATCAGTAATGTTATATTGATATCTTCATGTGGATTAACCGAAGAAATAATACTAATGTTAGGTGAAAAAAGGAGTAGAGCTGCAGTTTCCATTGGTGTGTTACGTACAAAATATTTTGGCAGGGATATTGTTGTATAAACAACGAAATAACTAGCCATAAAAAAAAATAAAAAAAAAAAAAGATTAGTACCCAATAAAGTTCTTGCTTCAGATCCTATAAAAACGAGGTAGTAAATGAGAAAGAAATTAGCTCTGCTAAAGAGAATCATTTTAGTTCTCATCGTTATTTGTTGCTTAAACAGACCTCTTTCAAGTCTACATTTATAGACAAAAAGGAGAAAAGCTCAAGTGGGCAGTGCATTAGCACCAAACTTTCTTTTCTGAACTGATGTTAACTGTCGTTAACTAGGATAATACTTTTATATTGAACAATCTATGATAGGATCTAATTCTGCAGAAAAAACACATTTTTAATTAGTTCTATTGCGTATATACTTCATCATGTGTTTCACCTTATTTGTCATAGTTTAACTTGCCATATAATTTAATAAAAAAAAATTGATTTTTGAAACTCGTTATATTAATCAAATAAATATAGTATTTGGATTATACCATAACATTTCTATGACTATATACATTTTTAAAACTTATAATGTTAAACATATCATAATATTTGTGTGACTGTAAAAATTTCTTATTAAACAAATATATGAATATGATATTCTTTTTGGAACATATTAGTGATAAGAAGGGAGTAATAAGTTAGGATAAAGGCTAGTGTGCAATCAATTCTCTTTTTTGTTCTCTTTCTTTTTATTTCTAACAAGAATTTAACTTTTATATTAATCGTGTAAAGAATTTTTATATGAAAATTTAACTAGATATATAACAAGTTATTTATTGTATTTTTAGACTAATATATAAGCATTTAACCGTAAACATTGTCAGCGCACTAAAGTTAAATTCATTAGTGGTCACAGACTCATTGGTCGTCGGTCTTCCTCACTCGTTTTTGAGTTGTGACTGAATATAGTGTACGAGCAATGCATGAAAACAGCCACCATTCGAGTCAATTAGCACGTGAAAATTACTTGATTTTTACCCTGTGATTCACTGTTGTTTATCAATAATTAATCTCGAGCACTTTAGGTGAATTAAAACATCCGTACAAATATTCACTGTTGTTTATCAATAATTAATCTCGACCACTTTAGGTGATTTAGAACATCCGTACAATGTCTCTCGATTTTCTCTCATTACGCCTATGTTAGGTCTAATTCAATCGACCTATCTTCTGAAAAGCAATATAATTGGTACTCTTTTCGTTCCAATTTATGTGAACATGTTTGAATGGATACGGAGTTTAAGAAAAAAATAAAAAATTTTGAAATTTGTGATCCTAAACAAGTCCAAATAGGGCTCAGAGTATTTGTGTGGTTATAAAAGCTTCTCATTAAGGGTAGAGTTGTAAGTTTAAGCTAAATTGTTACCAAATCTAGAAAAGGTTCATTCTTTTTGGAACGGACCAAAAAGTAAATAGGTTCACATAAACTGAAACAGAGGGAGTAAATTTTATTGAAGGTCATGAATCTATACAGTGGGCCTTGGTGAGGCAACTTTAAAATATAGTAGTATATTTCTTTAAAAGAAAAAAGTCAAAAATCTCAGGGATAATACATAATTACCTCAATGGTGGACCTAAAATTTTATACAAGCGGGTTCAGTTAAAAAGCATAGTAGTAACTTGTATAAGCGGTACCGGTAAATAGAATTTGCTCACTACTCAGTTTTGTTCATCTTGTGATCCCAAGATAAAGTCACTAATGCTCTTTTTTAATCAAAGTTGGGAATTTTTTTTAAAAACTAATTAATTTTAATTTTTAGAATTTTATTTATATGTATTAACAAATTTAGTAATTTTAACAAAAAAAATATTTAACCAACTTAAAAAAACTTATGGTTGTGAGAAATTTAACATAATAAGAATTCACAAACAAAAAAGAAAGTAAGAGAGCGTTTTTGTTCCAATAGAGATTTGAACTCACAACTTCCACCCCTCACTTGAGCCCTATTTACCGCTACTCCACAGTTTCTATTTGTGTTAAGTGGGTTCATCTTTTATTATATTGCCTGCTTTCATGATTTTCTGAAGAAATTAACGGGGGAATATAATTAGTTTTTTTTTTGACGAAGCGAGTTCAATTGAACCCCCTCACTATAAGGTGGGTCCGTCCCTGATTACTTCTTGGGGTTGTCTCCTTTTACCAGATGCACCCTTATACTTTGTGGGGGGTCCTATGACCCACTTATATTTGTTCAAAATGTAATTAATACTACATTTTGAGCTGATGCGGCACATTTCTAGACTGACTGCGCGTGAAGCGCCAAAATATCATTATTTTTTTTTTTACATTTTTTCATTTTTCTCTTTCTTCTTTTTTTATTCTTTTGTTCTCTCCCTTCTTCTTTTTTTCTTATTTCTTTTCTTCTCCTTTTTTGACATTCTACTTTTTTCCTGCCAGTGCCTCACCTCAATGTAAGGACTCGGTCAGTCGTTTTATGAGTTACCGCTCCGTTTTCTCCATTTCTGCTTCTTTATATGTTGTTCAGTTGTATTTCATCGCATCGTGTTGGTTAGTTTGGGTTCGGAGTGATTTTTTTTAGAGAAATGAGACACTTAGACTCTTAAGTTGGCTTTTTAGTTGAAAAAGTCAACCGGAAGTTGACCTGTGAGAAAACAGTTTTGGAATTTGGTTTTTATGATTCGGATAGCTTCGTGAAGTGATTTGGGACTTAGGAGCGTGATCGGGTGTGTTTTGAAGGTCCGGAGTAGATTTAGGCTTGAATTGGCGAAATTGGAATTTTTGGCGTTTTCCGGTTAAAAGGGGAGATTTTGATATATGGGTCGTAATGGAATTCCGGAAGTTGGAGTAGGTCTGTTGTGCCATTTGTGACATGTGTGCAAAATTTAAGGTTATTCGGACGAGGTTTGATAGACTTTTTGATCGAAAGCAAAATTTGGAAGTTTTGAAACTTTTAGGCTTGAATCCGATGGTGTTTTGATGTATTAGTGTTGTTTTGAGTCATTTGAGGACTCGATTAAGTTGGAATAGTTGTATGTGACTTGTTGGCATATTTGGTTGAGGTCCCGAGGGCCTCGAGATGGATTTGGATGGTTGACAGAGAGTGTGGAGTTTTGGAGCAGCTGCAGAATTTTCTGCTCCTGTCGCTGCAGATGCGTAGAGGAGGTCACAGAAGCAGATTTGGGTCAGCTAGAGCTTGGCCGCAGATGCGATGCATTGGGCGCATCTGCGGGACCACAGGTGCGGTTCCTGGACGCAGATGCGGCCCTAAGGGACTTAAGTGAAAACCGAAGAAGCGGTTGGTTGACCGTAGAAGCGGTAAAAAGGGCTGCAGGTGCAGAATCCTTGGATCAGAAAGTATATAAGTCCTCCTTCGCAAAATTGGAGTTGTTTTCCAATATTTTTATCCTGGATTGAGGCATTTTGGGAGATTTTGAAGAGGGAATTCAAGGGAACTTCGTGGAAGTAAATTTCGTGGAACTAAAACTCGTTTATATGGCATTATTTCACTTATTAAGCTTGAAATTAATGGAAATTAAGGGTTAAAATTGGAGGATTAGGGCTTGGTATCGGAGACCTTGATTTGACTGGGTTGTTTGTGGTCGGATTTTGATATATTTGGTATGTATGAACTCGTGAGAGTGTAAGGATTCTAATTTTGTGATTTTATCGAAATTCGACATGTGGGCTCGGGGGTCGGGTTTGGCCAATTTCGGAATTTTTTTATGTAAATTGGTTATTTTCGAGTGGGATTTGTTCCCTTAGCATATTTTGATGGTATAAATCTATTTTTGGTTAGATTTGGAGCATCTGGAGGCCGTCGAGAGGCAAAGGCATCGCGGGCTAGAGTTTGGACCGGATCGAGGTAAGTAATGATTGTAAATGTTGTCCTGAGGGTATGAAACCCCGGATTTCACACCGTTGTGCTGCTTTGAGGTGACGCACACACAAGATGATGAGCGTGGGGTCGTGCACCCTTAGGAATCGTGACTTAGTCCGTCCCGTATGACTGTTAAGTCGCGTATTTGATTTAACACTACTTGATATCATTGTGCTTTGGAAAGTATTATCATGTTTTGGGCTGAATGCCATATTTGAGCCTTGTGCCAACTATTTTGGACCCTTGGGGGCTTTTTACTACTATTCCTTACTGTGTTGACTTCATAATTGTACTCAGTCATGCTGTATTCTACTGTTTTCATAAATCAACCATATTTATGCTTTGTTGATATTTTAAATGGTATTTTGGGCTGAGCATCATGTTTTACTGTTGCCCGAGGGGCTTGAGAGATTTCCGATTGAGTGAGGCCGAGGGCCTGTATTGTTAGGATATCATGGGATCGGGCTGCGTGCTACAGCATGTGTACTGATTGTGATATACGAGAGGCCGAGGGCCTGATTTTGTTATGCCATGAGATGGTTTGTGATAGCGCTTGGGTTGTAGGAGCCCCTCCGGAGTCTGAACAGTGAGCGCGGGAACCCAGTGTGAGATGTGATATTTGCTGTTGATACCCAATTTTCCCCTATATATTTTCAATATGCAAAATACTTTCAAAATAGCATATCTATGCATATATAAGCATGTACAAGCGTTTTATTATTTTTCCATGATTTTAAAGGTTTTTAAATTGATTTATTTCCTCTTTTTCATCCATAAAATCCCAATAATTATGTCCAAAATTATTATTTTTGATGATTAATTTATTAAATTTTTATATTTATTCCAAAATATGACTAATGTAATTTTTACATATTTTTATCATTTTATTTAGTATTTTTTAAAGCTAATTGCAGATAATTGTAATATTAGTCATTTTAAGGTTTAATTACATTTTATATTCATAAAATCAAGTCTTGTATTTTTAATTATTATTTATGTGTTATAAATTATTATAGTATTTTTAATTTATTTTCAGAAGCTATTTACTATTTTTTATAAATTAAGAAGGAAAAAAGTGGCTATTTAATTTTTAGCCCAAATTGGTTTTAAATTTAACCCCAAATCTAACCCAATTTCTCCAGCCCAATTTTAATTAACCCGACCCTAACCCAATTAATCTTACCCAAACTCGGATCCCCACCTACCCCTTTAAATCTAGGTCGTTGATCTGAAGATCAACGGCTACCGTTTCCCCTACCTAAAATAAACCTGAACGACCCCTTTAACCTACTTCATTTCTCACCACCTGCCGCCCTTGAATCCCTTCCTC